GAGCGCTGCTCACCATCGCTTCGGTGAGACCCAGTCGAACGCCCCCAGCTCTTTTAGGTTTTTCCCCTGTCGCTAGACCTCAAGTCGCGACAGACGCGGTGATACGACCTACGAAACCCTAACCCCTAACCAGGGTGCGACCTAAAGGGACTAGAGAGACGGCTTATAGTCTAATGAGAGGGGAGTTAGCAGCAAGGTGTCCCGCGGTTCGAGTGAACACGAGAAACGCCTTCGGAAAAGGCTACGAACGCTAGGGAAGGTACGGGGTGGCTTCGACACGTCGTCGAAGCTACTCGGAGGCTGTGGAAAGTTAGCGACGATCGAAGCTCGGTAGAGCTCTTCGACGTATCGTAGAGAGAAGGGACACGATTCGATAGGGGGGGACTTAACTAGGACGCGGTTCGAGGTGCAACGCAGTTTCTTCGACAGTAGTCGAAGTCAAAAGGTTCGTCGAGACGGTATCGATGAGTGAACACAGTGGACGAGGTTTCGAGGTTACGCAGTGAGGAACGAAGTGACGCAGTTAGGACGTAGACGCAGGGCGAACTCGACTTATGAGCTCTGAACTCGAGGGGGGGAACAGATCTTGTATTTTTAGGGAGAACTACGACCGATTTTATACTACACAGGACGCTACGACTATTCGAGAGTGGCATACGAGTACAAGGGGCTTTGCATTGTTCCTCAAGAAGCTGCCTCACCGAGAGGCACATACCAAGTCCATCGGTAGAGTGACGTCATGCCGAACGCGGAGATGAAGAGCAACATATGGCCACTTCGGACCGGTAGGCGTCGTGAAGGCATGCCGCGAGGTTCGATACCTAATCGGGAAAGACCGGCTACTTCGGTGTGGCTTGGAGCGAAGCGCGCGCTTGGCCGAGCGGCGTCGAGTGGCCCTATTGTTCGCCGAATGCGGAAGACGTTCCGAGATCTACGCACGAGGCATCGGGAAGACCGTGCCGAGCTTCGAGTAAGTGTCGCGCACCGTCGAAGGTGTCGAAGAGCGTCGAAGGCGAAATCGAAGTGTTGGGAGACTGAGTCGAAGTGCCGGGCGGGATGCGAGTGCCGAAAAGAGGTGAATCGGGGCCCAGAGGGGCTTGGCGCCTATCATCTCCTCCCTATTGAAATTTGGACCGCCCTCGGTCCTCCACGTGATGCAAGAAGCGCGATGGTCGTGAACGGATCGAAGCGGAATGGCAACCCGCGTCGGTTTCGAACGCCACGTGGCCGGCGCTAAACGCTGGTCGGAAAGGGGTTATAAGCAGGGTAGACTTAGCCTCATTTTCCCCATCCCATCGTTCCTTCTTCATTACCTCGTCGCCCCTCCTCGCACACTTCCTCTGCTTCTACGATGTCTGCTCGCTCTGCCACCCCTGCGTCGACTCCCTCTCTCGTCAACCGCCGCCTTGCCTCCTTGCTCGTGGTCCTCGAGGCTCCGCCGGCCGCCGACGCCACGCTCGATGTGGTCGAAGAGTGGGCTCAAGACTTGTCGCCTCTCGTCGTAAGTTGCTTGTAATCTGCATAACCCGACTAACCGTTTGTTTTCGAGCAGCTCGCCTATCGCAAGGCTCTGGGCACCATCCGCGACGAGGAGACGGAGTTGCGCGTCGCCGCCGCCGTCAAACAGCTCGCCGAGCGGGCGTCGGAGTCGTGGGTTGAGTGGGCGCGCGGGGACTGGCCTGAGCTCGCGACCGCCATCGATGCCGAGGTCGAACGACGCCTCAAAGAACAGAAGCGCCTTGCCGAAGAGGAAGCACGACGCGTCGAAGAGGTCGCGAAGCGTGCGAAGGCCGCCGAGGAGCGCCGCCTCGAAGACGAACGGCGTCGAAAGGACGAAGAGGACCGTCGGAAGCAGGCCGAAGACGAGCGTCGCGCACAAGAGGCCGCCGACGAGGAGTTGGCGAGGATCGCGGCCGCCGAAGGACTCCTTCCCGACCCTGCGCCTGCCGGTGTCGACAAGGGGAAAGGGCGCACGAGGGTCAACGAGGAGGTCGCTGAGTTGTCCGACGACCCTTCGATCGTAAGTGTTTTCTTCCATCGTCGTTCGATGACTAAACTCTCTTTCGTAGAAGACTCCTCGGACGCTCGAGCGTCCTTTCGCAATGACGGAGGTCGATATGGCCGCCGTTGCGCTTGAGAAGCGCCTGTCGGGACAGAAGGTAAGCTCGAGCCTCCGTCGAAGCGGTTCGATGCTAACGCCTTGATAGTGCGATCGTTGCGCCGGCTACCGCTCGGCCCCGGTCGATTGGGTGTGGGTCGAGAACGGTACGACCTGCGAGAGGTGCGCGCAGTTCCAACAGGGCTGCTATTTCGACAAGGTGTCTGTCCTAGGCAAGACAAAGAAGACGCGCGGCGGGGGATCAACCACCAAAAAACGCAGTAAGTTGTTTCTTCTGGTTGTCCTGAACTTTGGCTGACGTTGTGGTAGTTCGGCCGGCCTCGCCTGGGCCTTCGATCACGGACTCGGGTGGTTCGAAGAAGCGTCGCGTCGACGAGCCTCCGCGCCCCCTTCTACAACGGCCTCTCGATGGGGCCAGCCGCCTTGGGCTCGAGCAGGACGACCTTGACGCGCTCGACCTTGACGACGAATCTCGTGGAATCATCCGCGTCATTCGCGAGGAGCGTGCCCACATCGCGCGCCGTCGAGCGCTCCTCCACGACATGGACCTCGACCTTCAAAAGATGGAGAAGGACGCGCTCGCGAAAGGGGGAATCGGGTTCGTGCGCGGGGTTGTTGACGAGGACTAGGCGCGAGTCGTTTTGTATCGTAGTCGTACTCGTGTCGTAGAATTTTGCGTAGATGGTCGAATGGAAAATGTGGCCCTTGGCCTAGACGGACCTAGCGGGAACTAAGAAAAGAAAATGAAAATAAGGGTGTTTGAAGTAAGTCGTAATATGATCGAAAGACATAGAAGGAAAAATAGGAATGTTCGTAGCAAGGGAAAATGGACTTAATGAGAATATAGGCTCAGTTTGTCATCACAGCCTAGGAGGACTCGTCTCAGGTGAGCCTCCGCGCAACGGTCGAATCGAAGCGTTCGTGGAACGTTGAACGATGTTGCGACTATCGAGTTGAATCGAAGATATTCGTACAAGGGATGGTCTAGAACGTAGGAGAAAATCAAGCATATTGCGTAACGTGAGAGCAGGAATGGAGAGAAGGAAGTACGTATCGTGTTGTACAAGTAAGGGAAGAACCTCTATTCGTCGCGTTCTTCGGTTTCTTCGACTTCATCATCGTCGTCGCCTAGAGAATTCGATAGTTCGAGTTCTCGAAGACGCTCGGTCGAGACATCTTCGAGATCTTCGGGGATTGGAATGGATTTGCGCACGAAATACGGGATGACGCGGAAGGCTGCGATGGGTCTATCGAGGACTGTACCGTCGAGTTCGCACACGATGTACGCGCCGCCCTTGTTGCGCGAGACAACGATCAGGGGGCCTAGATATCGCGGGCGCATCTTGCGGTTGAGGGACTTCTCGATCTTCGTGTTGCGTATGAGCACTAGGGCTCCGCGTTTGAAGTCGAAATCCTGGATCGAGTGCTCGTGCTCTTTCTCGAAGCGAATTGCTGCAGTTCGACGTGCTTCGTAGACCTTTGAGTGGAGTTCGGTGACTTGCTCGACGCGTTTCTGAAGCGCAATGGCCCTACGGGCGATGAGATCGGTCGTCGAAAGGACCGAAGTCGGTGGTGGCTGCAGGTACGTAGCTTCGACGATGTCAAGAGGAATGAGCGGATGGGTGCCCGTAACAGCGAAATAGGGTGAGCAGCCCATGCGTCGTCGAGTCGTGATGCGCTCGGACCAAAATACAAAGTACGCAGCTTGGGACCATTTCTTCTCATCTCCGTCGGCTGTCTTAAACAAGGCTTGTCGCGTGCTGAAATGCGGACGTTCGACGAGACTGTTCGCCCTCGAATTGTACCCACTGATTTGAATATGGTTGATGTGGTACTTCTTCGAAAGGTAATCGGCCGCCTTGATGAACACCGTACCGTTGTCGGTGACGATCTCGCTGAGTGCGCCCCATCGACAGAGGATGTCTTCGAAGATCCAGTCGGCGAGGGCCTTCGCTGTCTCTTTTCGAAGCATTCGAAACTCGGGGTAAGTCGTGAGCGAGCATCTACCCTGGACCAAGTACTTGTATCCGCCCGAGGCCGGCATGTGCATTGTGTCGATGTGAATTTTCGCGAAGATGGGGGCTGGTACTGCGACGGTTGGAGGAATGAGGATTTGACGCACTTGTCGAGACTGGCAGATATGGCACGATCGAACGAACCAAGCGATGTCGGCGTAGTGGAACGGCCACCAGAATCGCTCATTGACGAAGGCTCGGGTTGCATAAATTCCTCGATGCGCGGTGCGGTCGTGGCATTCTCGAAGTATTCGAAGGCGATCGCCGGGCTTGACGACTAGCTTGTGTGCTCCGTGACTGTCCTTGCGCCAGAGGGTGTCGTTGTCGAGGAAGAATTGCATGCAGTACTTGATGAACCCTTCGTAGACGCCTTCGGAGATGCCGTGGGGCTTCGCTAACGTTCGATGAAATTCGAGCACGTCGTCGAGCTTCGCGTTGGCGAGTTGCGCTTGCTCCGATCGAGGCACTAGCTCGTAGCTATCCTCCTCCCTATTGAAATCTGAGCCGTCCTCGGCTCTGTCACTGGTGAAGACGGCAAGCGAAGGGACCGGTGGGAGGGGCTGAATCTGGTGAACAAAAGAATGCATCTGGTCGATCCAATCGTCGAATTCTTCGTCGACCTCGTCTTCGATGACATCACCGGGTTGAGCTGTGCGTCGAGAGAGGCCGTCGGGGCCGTGCATTGTACCGGGGACGTGGACCAGCGTGAAATGAAATGTGAGAATCGAGACGATCCACCGGTTAATACTTGCGCTTGGGGCTATGTCTGGGTTCTTCAGCATACCCTTGATGTACCGAGCATCGACTTCGACGATGAGGTTCCGAACGCCGATCAGGTAGAGTCGAAGG